AAATATGGTACTTTGTCTCCGGCCATAAGCTGTTTTCAACGCCTTAATTGATATTTGAAAAAAAAGCATGATTTTAAAAACATATTTGGTATATTATTTTAAAGCTATTATTCAGTCAAAACTCATGAATGAGATGCTAAATTAAAAGTCAGCCAACTCACCTCCAAGTTATTTTCTAAATACATATAATAAATTTCAAACAACAGTTTCATACTTACGGTATGCTGTCCCGGAGGAAATTTCGTGTGGACTTTCAAGGTAATATTCATAGGTATGGCTAAAACATTCAGAAGGAAATATTTAGCTTTAAAAATTATTTGTTTGTTGAATTTTATGCAAAGCTACACGAGGACTATCTGTACGAGCAGCCCATGATTTTGAAGTGATAAACTAGAGATAGAAGACAGCTAGTCAATACCACCCGCCAACAACTCTTAGGCTACTTTAATCGTATAGTGGGACTTGACTGTCACTTTTATAAAGCATCAATGGCTCAAAAATGTGGAGTACGATTTTGTTTTGGCGGTAATAGAACCTCACCATTTTTTCACATACAAGCACTTCTAGCGTTCATTGTTCAACTAAAAATTGCAAAAACATTGAGTCTTTTTAACGCTCCTAAGTGGCTCAGCGGTAAACTTGATAGGTTATAGTGCTGAAATGTGAGACTCGATCCATTCGGTGGCCCTGCGCAGATAGTCCATTGTGCAGCTTTGCGTTTACACAAACAAAGAAATTAAGTGTTCCTTTAAAGAAAATTATTGCTATATTTTTTATTTTCTAGCTTGAACAAGGGTCTTAATTTATATGTGTTTTATGATATACGTAATCTAATTGTTCAGGGGTATTCAACATACAGTCTCTCAGAGACAAGTCTGCAGGCGTGCGACGCTAAAATTCGGGTTTCAATAATCGTGGTTGGCATAACACATATCGCCCATTGTGCAGCTTTGCGCTCAACAACACTCAGACCAAACTCAGCATGTAAACAACATCTATTCTGCTTCTTTAGGCTTACGGGTTGGGTTTATATTTCCTTAAATTCATTATCTTTACCTAACAACCAACGTTTTTTCATAAAATAGAAATTATTTCGCCTTTAGAAATAGAATGATAATCCGTGTAAAACGACGATTATAATATGACACTGACATCGAACAATGGGAAATACATGTAGAATCTGATAATCAAGTACTTTACTATTGCTATTACGTTTCATAATCTGGGTACATCTAGCTGATCATTATAACTTTTGAAATTAAAAATATTATTGATAAATATTTCTATCAAGTTAAGGAAAAAACATAAATGATGAATTTTAATAAATATTACTACAGAAAGTTTTGTATGTCTAGAAAAGTTGTTCGAAATGGTAATGTGACTAACATGTGTTTCTCTAAACCTTACAATGTCAGTACCATACGTTCTTATAACGTTTCTATAAACCTTACAATGTTAGTACCATACGTTCTTATAACGTTTCTATAAACCTTACAATGTCAGTACCATACGTTCTTATAACCTTTCTATAAACCTTACAATGTCAGTACCATACGTTCTTATAACGTTTCTATAAACCTTACAATGTCATACCATACGTTCTTATAACGTTTCTATAAACCTTACAATGTCAGTACCATACGTTCTTATAACGTTTCTATAAACCTTACAATGTTAGTACCATACGTTCTTATAACGTTTCTATAAACCTTACAATGTCATACCGCGGTTTTCAAAAACTGAACAGAAACTATTTAAGTCATTTCCGATTTAATACAGTGAAAAACAAAGTAAATGAAATACGGCGTAATGCCGATCTTTCACTGATTTAATACGTTTCAGAAAACTATCGTTTAACACACTTCACACTGGAATTTCAGAAACTCCTGTAATCATAAACCACAACTAACTGACTCTATCTTAAGTTGTTTTATAAATGACACGTCACTGCTAAGAGAAGAACGTATGGTACTGACATTGTAAGGTTTATAGAAACGTTATAAGAACGTATGGTACTGACATTGTAAGGTTTATAGAAACGTTATAAGAACGTATGATATCAAACACACTTTTTTCTAGTTTGAAAGAAAAATGTGTATTTTGTTAATTTTCGGAAAGCAAAGTGAACTACAAGAAATTAGTGACTAATTCAGAATTTATTATAAATCCATTCGCATATTAATATACTTTGTTTTCTTCTTGCATTGTGTAACAAATTTATTATATATTAATTTTAATATCAACGTTTGTTTAGATTAAGTTTATATTCAAAAACATGCATAGCTTATAGTGTTAGATATGTATTGCGTAACTCCCGCCTATTCTCCAAAGTTATAGAAGATTCTCAAGAGTAAGAATCAACAATATATGTATGTCTGTAAACGCTTAAATTTGTATTGTTACGTAATCTGAATTTTCTAGAAACCTCCACACGCATATAAATATAACCAATGCAACGCGCGAAAAGAGAGTATCTATTATTAGTTCGCTATAGTCAGTGTGCTATAAAACTTCGGAAGCTATAACTATGATTTTTATAATGCTTACCAATCGGAAAACCATATATATTTGACCAGGAACCTTTACAAAGTTCGAACATTACAAATCGTTTAACTTCAGTGGATTCTCATCGGACATTAGTATTTTTACGAAAACATTACCTAACGTCATCGCTAAGAAAAATATCGACTTTATATTGTTTGGAAGTTTGTGAAACTTTTGTTTATAAATCATTGTTTGTAATAACTAATTATTTGTAATAATTGTTATTGTAAATTGTACTGTTGTGTGTATATTAAAACGTATTTATGTTAAAAAAAGAAAAATGTATCAATCTGACTAAATATCGGCATATATTTAAATACTAAATCCAAAGCACAATTTAACTACTAAATCTAAATTATCAGTTAACTCAATTTCAGACCATCTGAAATTCTAATACGTAACAACTGTTACTTTGGTCGCCGATAGTTCTTGCGTTAAACATAAATCTTACTAACCTACACTTAGGTCAGCTTCGACATAAACAGGGTTTAGCAGAGCACCACTGTCCTGAGTTGTGTCTTCCTTCTTAAAAAGACATACATACAAATACATATCTTTGTGCCGTTAAATTACAGTAAAATAAAAGTGATCACAACTGAAAGCTGTTGCCTAGATTAAGTTCGATCGTGAAAATAAGCTGTAACCATAAAGGATTCGAACGTGGGTATTTTTGAGATAGAAAATTTATAACAATTACCTACGTCTAGGACGGAGATTTCATTTAGGTTACAAAATACCTACTAATACCACATTTTTAGAGTATGTTGACACACCGTGTACATTTTACTGGAGTTGACAGGGTAGTTGTAACAGTTTCAATAGAGCTTACTGAAAGTGTTTAACTTATACCATGTTTGTTCAAAACAGTAGCTTTAAAACATTTGAAAATAAAACAACCATTCAAAGTACGTGATCAATAAGGCAAGAAACGATTTTATCCTTGAAAATCATACGACATAAATATAATGTGTAATTAGGATATATCCAGAACTTCATAAACTGATTTTAAGAGACGATTCTCCATCATTCCGTTTTTAACTCACGTCTGGAAAGCCCTGCTTAGTTGCTCTCAAGTATTGTGGTAATATAATCAGCCAATTTATAATTATAATAACACCATAACCGTTTTGGTTTATCCTTCCGAAAATAAAGTAAAAATATTCAATTAATTGTTTTACAATAGAACGCAGGAACCAAACGTTTTGATATTAATAGAAAAAATAAATAGATATTTGAACTGTGGATGTTTAGCTATAAGTTCTTTTTCTTCTCGATAGTTTCACGTTTTATAAATGATAGTTGTGAAGTCTGCTGTATTTGATGGAACTCAACCTGGGCAGCAGCTTTGCAGTTGATTTATAATGAATATGGTTATGGTTAACACTTAACAATAGAAATTCGATGATAAACGTTCTGGACAAAGGCCTATCAGCAAGTGGTTTTTTTTTATAGTGGTCCTGAATTACGGCCTAAGAGTGAATTTTAAACAGTTTATAATAATAAAACCAAGATCATTATTTAAGGATAACACTTAAAGTGCAAAATATGTCCGCGGACATACAACGCTAGAAACCGGGTTTCGATACCCGTAGTGGGCAGAGCACAGATAGCCCATTGTGTATCTTTGTGCTTAACTTCAAACAAGCAACAACAAAGTTATCTTACTCTTTTAAAAATCATTTAATCATTAGACTATTCAAGTTTGATTTTGTGTTGTTATTACTATTTTTCTTTATTCACGAAATTTTAACGTAAATGGTAAAAAATTAGCTCTGGGGAAAGTACACAATAATAACCACAAACGCTAAACTTTTGTAAAACTGTGCATACTATACATAATTACCCTTAAGAATACAATATAAACTATACACACAACAGTAAAGAATGTCAATCGCAGCTGGATCCTATAACAAAAAATAACTGATGATAAATCTAGTAACACAAACAAAATAATTAAACTCGTCACAAATTATCATCAAAATCTTGATACAAAAAACAAACTAAATAAGGTACGACAAAGTTCCACTTAGAATGGAATGAAAGTATAGTTCCTTATTAATTTCAGTGTTTTTCTCATCACACATTTAGGATAATTGGCTTTTGCACATTCATTTGGTAGATCTGCACATTTAACAGAACACTCTTTACGAGATGATTGGTATGATTACTAAGATGGGTAAAAATATTAAAATTGGTGGATTAGATGATAACTCTTTTTCATTCAGAGTAACAATATGTAGTCATCTTCAACTAAAATCTTATTTGTCGAGGTTGATATTAAGGAAATTACCCTATACTTTAAATACTGGTTGAACCACAATGTTTCAGTATTTAATTTAGGAAGAACAAAAAACAACTAAACGTGGCAGATATTTAGTTTGAAGGAGAAGAAAGCAACGTGATAGTTGCCTGCTCTACCCAACTGGGGTCCTCGGGAACGGTTGTTCCCCTTCAACCCCACGCGCGAGAATAATTTGCTACACTGGCTATAATCGTGTTTAGAAACATTGACGGGAAGTTTTTGAGAGAAATTTTTGAAGAAGTTCGAAGAAGGCAAGATGAAGGTATTCTTTTCCAGTGGTGATGATGGAAATGTTGTGGCTGTTGATGATGTGAAGAGTTGAGACAGATAGATCCAGACATGCATTCGGAGCAGGAAATTTACATCATATAAATTAATTTTATATTAAGTAGACTTTATTGAAACTGATTTTATAGAAATGATTTGAATTTGGATTTAAAGCTCTTTTAGAAGGGGGGGGGACTACATACACACTCATCTTTTTTTCACTAAATTCTGTTTTATTATTATTATTATGAATAACTGAAAATCAAATATATCGGAAGCTTAATGCAACAAATCCCTCTCATCTCAAGTTAATTTTGGCTTTAATTTCAAAAATCTTTCGTTTTGTGCAGCAGTTAACTGAGGAGTAGATCGAGGAGAGAAAAAAGTTAAACCTCCCCAAATAAACCTCCCTCAAGGGGCATTATTCTCCTCAACTTAAAAATATTATACAACCTTTGTAGATATATATATATATATATTCAAAAGGGCGTATGTGAGCCATTGAAGAAAGATCATTTATTTCTCTCACATGTGACAGAATAACTTATCCAAACAAAAAGTTCACTCGCCGCCTATGTTCGTGTCTGATTTACTTCTTAAACGTCACGTAATGTAAAAAAAAAAAAAAAAAATCCCTCCTGGAGATTCGTGCCCAAGTGATATTAGTTGAAGAATAACAATAATATCTAAACTTACCTTCAAAATGCTATTACTACTTTCAGGTAGTTCACTATCTAAAGGGCCGCATCCATGTTTAGTAAGGTAGCTTCGTGTGCCACAACGAAATGGAATAAAGTCCTTAAAAACAAAATATTTATAATTACAATAAATATTTCTTACAGTACAGTCAGAAGAAGACCTCAGCATTTTCAAAGAGGACGTGTGAAGCACCTTAAATTATCCTAAGGTTAGAATATATTAGTAATGATTTAATAAATCTTGCTGAATCTAGGATGTTACTTTATCTCTTCATGTTTAAGATTTTATATAGTTTTACTCAAAATATTAATCGCTGCGCCATTCAAATACTTCTAAGAGTGCAGTTTCTTCTGGCGATATTGAGTTCAAGAAACATAAAAAACATTATAAAACCTGATAATGACAGTAATAAGGGAACAATTAAAGTACAATGTTCTTAATGAAAACCATTAGCAGATCAATGATAACTGCGATAATTCATAATACATTCTACCCGGAAGAGTTTATTACTTTGTTGATTTTATGATTATACACCATGTAATTTAAGGAGGTTTATAGCAAATCATATAAATTTCTATTTGTGTTCAAAATAATAGTGCTGTACATGGTTGCAATTATTAATGGCCTCTGATGAAAGATTCATAGAAAGAAAAACGTCTTTATTATTCGTCATTTATTATACATTATTCTTTAATATTAACAAAGTCTCCCGCTGGTTCAGCGATAAGCTGAAGACCTTATAATGATTTTACTATGATTCTCCGCGGAGAAGATGGACCATTGTGTATCTTTGCGAATAAAAGCAAAACAAAGAACAAAAACAATACTAAACAACATATTTTATAAGACTGCTTCATAGACAGAAACGACGCAAGCTGCGTCAGATATTTCTGTACCTATTAAAATGTATTTTTTCTTTAAATAAACTGTATTTACAGGTGATAGATTGTATTAATACAGTTTTTATGTAATATGTAAAGCATATTCCGTGTTATATATCTCGTGTTATATATATTCCGTGTTATATATATATTTTTTTATTTTTGCATAACGCTTCTAGATCTGTATGTGTGTCTGTAACACTAGAACGTTAGTCACAGAATGTTGCTACATTTCTTTCGTCCTAATTACCTACAGTTCTGGGTCATTCCCCTATGGTGTCACATGCACTTCCTCGTAGGAAGAATTGCTTTATAGAGGAATACACTGTGCAAACGTCGATAGTGATATTTCAATTGCCGGATCAGATAATATCTTGAAGATTTATCCTCCCCATTTTTCTATTGAAATCACCAAGAGTGGCGTGTGTAGCTTCTGCGAACTGGAGAGGATGTACTATAGAATTTTGTACAAAAAGTTGTGTTATTTTATTCTAGGACAGTTCTATCTTAAGACAAGCAGTTTTCTGATGTAATAGTGCCTAGAACCCAGTAAAGCTGTCACATAGTTAAATGCATTTCTTTAATTTCGATTGTCTTTGTTGTGCATAAAGAAATTTTCACTCAATAAATATTGTGCTTGATCTCTTTCTTGCTTGAAACTCAGTTGAAGTAAGAGATATTAAATTTAAATTCGTAATACACTTATTGACGTTCCCCATGCTATTGCAGTTACAGCTCTTATCTGCAAGGTTATCAGTGCACCTGAAAATACAAAAAATAAATGCAATGACCTCTGAACTTATACAACACAAAAATTAGTAGTTTCAAACCACGAAAAAAATGTAAACTTTAACAACATCTGCCATATAAGTGATACTCATGTATTAATAATTAACCAAAAAGTATATTTTACAGTGATTTGAAGTTTTGACATAGCTTTTCTGGTCAGTATAATCGAAAACCTCTCCATAATGTAGTAACGTAACTTTGAAATGTGATTTTTCGTAATACTTAAAATAGATGCTTGTCATAAATGTGCTTTGACGATTTCATTTGAGGTGGAATTGCTATATAATTGTGTTAATTTCAGACCACATCAATATAAATATTGCCAAAATTTCCTATTCTTTTTAATCTGAAAGGTGCACGTGCTACATCGCCGTTAAAACTTTCACTTATTTATAGTGTAAAGGTCAGCAAGAAATATGTTTCATATACTGTGGTGGTTACTTTTATTGTAAACTAATTCCCAGTTGTTTGTATTTTGAAGTCATACACTTTGAAGACCACAAACCTCTAAAATATGGACATTTTCCGTTTCGAGTAGATTAATTCATTTTGTTATTCTTGAAGTAGCATCCTGATCGCGGTACATATTATAATAATTTTAGTTTCGAATTGCAGCGTTTCTGAGAATTGCTTCTGTTTGTCTGTAGTTAAGCACAACGGTACACAATGAGCTATGTCTGCTCTGCCCACCATTGGTATCAAAACCCGGTTTCTAGCGTTATAAGTCTGTACGCGCACCGCTGTGTTATTGGGGGCTCTGAGAATTGTGTCCAATGGATACACTAATGTTCATCATGGACTACAAATCACATTTGAAACTCTATACAAACATTGTACGTTTGAAGCGCTGGGAGAATGAAATGTTGTATATTCACAACTATAATAGCTCTTTTATTTATGGCAATTACGTTTTGAGGTAAAACCTACTGGAAAAATGTAGTACTAATCTCCGGAACTTTCCTAATTATCTTTGGGAATACATTATGTGGACGCTGTATTTTAGAAGTATAAAACGCTAGAAACCTGTTGAAATTCACAGGACAACGGTTTTCATGAGACACAGAACACAATCACACAAAATAAACTCATCATTAAATTTCACAAATTAAAAGCGTAACGAAGGAAACAGCTTTACAGTTTTCCTGTCTATTGTTTGCAGTAAATGTAACTAAATATATTTGATATTTCGTAAAAAGCTGTATATTGGAAGTGGGAAAAGAGAGAATGATAACCTTAACGTGATTTTACTTCGTTGTGGGAAAGAGATGTTTTGGGATGGGGAAACAGGTTTTGATTACGTTTCATGACCGAGATTGTTTTTACTTCTAAAATGCTGTCTAAACACTGTTTGTTTGTTTTAGATCAAAACCACATTAGGCTATCTGCTGTGTCCACCGTGTGGAATTGAACGTCGGATTTTAGCGTTGTAAGTCCGTAGACTTATCGCTGTCCCACTGGGGTAATGTCTGAAGACAACACTATTGTTTCAATAAAAATATTGTTACCAATATTCTTTTATAAAAAGTAACACAATTTGTCAACATTGTTGAGAACTTCTCAACGTATCATTTAGTTATGGCAATATCCTATGTTTATATTATTTTTTATCGTGGAGAACAAAGCAAACCTCCTGTCGAGTAACAAATAAGATATTTCTTCTATGCTTAAAAGATCAAGTGTACAGTCTGGACATTGCGAACAGTTCCTTGTAAAACGCCACTTACTTTTGGTGTTCCTCACCTAAATATATAATTTAAATTCAGTCCTGTCATTCGTCTTTCATGTATTATGAAACGTAATCTGTGCATTTATTCAGAACAGTTTCATATATTATCGATATTTCACATTCGCTAAATTACTTATTTCATTGAATAAACATCATCAGAGTTCAAAACTTTCTGTACAGAAAATCAGTTACTATTATTGTTCCCTGATGAACGTGTCCGGAGCAAGCGCCTTGCAAGCCTAAAGATAAAAGAGTGAAGCAAAAGGATTGGTTTGAGTCTCTTAATGTGTACTCTTTCACACTAAACAATATGTAATATGACAAATCAATTTAACCATCCTTATTATCAGATGCACAATTACTACATTTTGAATTCTTTATTTCAGTGCATGCGAGCGTGAGAAAAAACAAAAATCAGACTACTTGTGCACTTCATTATACCAGCATTAGGGAGATTTTAAGATACTTGGAGGATGTGTGTGTGGTTACAACACAACGATAATGTTTCTTTTCTAATTTCTATATATTTAACATTTATGAAACTTTACATTTTCAGAAGACCGAGTATAAAAGTACGACATTTTTCGAGGTGTTTATATAAACTTTTAAAAGATAGGTTAAAACAGTGTTGTGTGTATATCTGCGACATTGAATTTATTTAAACTCTTGCATACTTTTAATTGTAGCAAATCTACTTTCCAAAATTTCACTGCAGGTCTTTAATTTGGTACAGAAATTGTAAGTGTTTGGACTGAAATAAAACATTCACAGATTGTCTATAGATTTTCCGAAGGCATTTGAAAGAAGCCATAATAGAATATACTGCGCAAACAAGTGATTTTGAAAGTTCTTAAGGGGCGGTCGATCTTTATAGATTTGCATGACTTTATTTGTAATGAACCTTCTTGGTGTTCAACAGGTTTTTAACTCGTCACATTTGACACAAAAGTTGCAGTTCATTGGACTGGAATGAAAAATTCACAGTTTTTGTTCAATCATCATAAAGATATTCACCTTTTGGGTGCAGGATGACAGGTGTGTTATAGAATATCTTTAAGCAGGTTTCCAGTTGTTGCCTTGTGAGTGACTCAGCGTGATGAATAATTATAGCACTGATAAAATCAGATCAAACAACATTTCGATAAAAAGTATTTCATTCGGTGAACGCAAACACCATCAACTGTCTCCCCCTGGTGGGTCAACGACAAGTTCACTGACTAACAACGCTGAAATATAGGGCTCTATTTTACGCGGAGGGCATAGTGCAGATAGCCCATTGTGTGGCTTTACATTTGAAACAAACCAACCCTAAAACTGTATGATTTTTAGAGCAGCTTTTGCCCAAATACTGGGCCTAACTTAAACTAAATTGTAGTTGTAATTTATTGGCAATTCAAAGTAAATTTAAAGAAGAAACTGAAGAACATATTTCAACTTTATTGTTTGTTACTTTATCGAATTCATGCTAATACACTTTTTTGTCTTGATTATGGTTACAAGCCTCAATCAGTTGCCCATGTAAACCTCTGCGTAACAACAACAACAATAGACCCACATCAAAGCTGCCCGTTTTTCTGAGTGCATTTTGTTTGCTTAAAGAAATCGCTTTGCTGCTTAAATGGATGTTAACTCGTTTATACATGAAATGAATATTTGAACTTACTTCTTTAGTGCACCAAGAACAGTTCGGAAATCTGAGACATTCACTGCAGGTGACATGTTTGTTACAGAAGTCTTCTTCACTAGTTTCTATACCATCTGGAAAATACACACAAGAAAGTTTGATTCTTTTTTTTTTTTTTGCTACTGTTGCAAGATTTCGAATTTTTTAAAAAACAAAGTCTGTCAAGATTTTACTAAAACTTTTCACTTCTTTTAATTTCTTTAAAAACGGACTTTATCGGAAAGCAATAACTATGTTTCATTTCTCAGTCTGTTACCGTGTAATGTTTTCCATACTTTATTTTGAACAAAGCATATGTAACAGAACACTTCTTACTGTTACGTCGTCAAGAAATTGATGTCGCGTTTTGGAACACTAACCATCCCCCCAAAAACGCACATCACGTATAATAGTTAAACGAACCGCCTAAACGTCACGTTAGTGTAACCTATATAATATGTAAAGTTTAGTATAATCTAATCCCTTATAATGATGGCATACGACAAGACACATTCGTCATGTAATGCTGTTTGAATACAAAAAAGGGATTAAAGCATATGAAATGTGGCGTCATCTATTGAATAGCATCACAAACAGAAATCCATAAAAGAAATCACACTTTGTGTATTCGAGGTTCAGACAGAAAAATAACTATGATATGGACAACAACCATTTCTTTAGAACAAAGCACAATTTAAAATCAAAATACTCTCCTCGCAAAAAGAACACGACCTTCACTAGTACTGTACGTGAGGGTTTTATAATATATTTATTGATGTAGTGTTTAAATGTAGCACTAAAAACCTGGAGTTCTTAAAAATTATTTTTCAATGAAGGACAGCACTTTTAATGTATATATAAGACATTACAGTTTATATCAGTAAAATTTGTTAAAATTGAGCTCTGTACATTGAATCATTCTGATGCAATGAGTTTCGTATGACTAAAGAGCACAATCCGAACACTTTTCCCGTGCGTTACTTCCGACAAAAATATCGTTTTTAGAAAATATTCACGTTTTTTACAGATTCTTACAATGAGGTATGAATACTACGACGTAAACAATTTTAACTGATTTTACTATCATAATACCTCCAATTTATTTACAAAATTTCTCTTTTTGATCGATTTTTGAAGCAAAGAAATATTGTGCTACCTGTTGTGTCCACCGCAGGAAATCGAACCCCTGATTTTAGCATAGCAAAGTCTGTAGACTTACCGTTGTCCCACCAGAGGACTCTTCCATAAGAATTAAAATATCCACTCCTAACTACAATAACGCTTTCATTCATTCATTGTCCACAGTTTATGCTCTTAAGTCCCATTACAATTGTAGATTCATGTTCTGTATCTAAAACATAGTTACGTAACTGGTTATCGACTGCTATATCACAATTTTGTATATTGCCTTTCGCAAAATATGGTTATGAATAGTCTCACCCTGACTTTACAATCTTATCTAATTTTCTTTTCCCTTATCATGTCACTACCATTTAACGACAACAGTTATTCTAATGACATATATATATATTCTCTTTTTGACTGCCGCTGCTGGTAGACGTGTTTGAACAGCTGGCTAAAGAAAATATCTTTCCTACCGATATCCATACTTGACGGCAACTTTCAATATGACTCTTAGAAATCTGATGAACTTGCCATTTTTGGGGCTCAAGAAATTGTCTAACGTATCACATAATCAGGTTAAATATGCAAATATATGGGGTGTACTACATCTGTGTACAAGGGAGGGTCACAATAAAGCGGCCAGTCGCTGGATTACCACTAGTTCTTTATATGTGTAGCTTCTATTGCAAGGTATCAATGATAGTTGTACAAACAGTATTTTGTTTAATCACTTGTGCTGATATTGTTGGAAGTAATGAGCTGTGACAATTATTCCGCAATAATTGGCTTGGTTTCTTCCGGTCTTATACAAACTGAATAACAACCAGTAATCCAACAGAAGTTCGTATTGTTTGTTTGTTTTTTGGATTTTGCGCAAAGCTACACGAGGGCTATCTGCACTAGCCGTCCCTAATTTAGCAGTGTAAGACTAGAGGGAAGGCAGCTAGTCATCACCACCCACCGCCAACTCTTGGGCTACTCTTTTACCAACGAATAGTGGGATTGACCGTCACATTATAACGCCCCCAAGGCTGAAAGGGCGAGCATGTTTGGTGTGACGGGGATTCGAACCCGCGACCCACAGATTGCGAGTCGAACGCCCTAACCATCTGGCCATACCGGGCTCAGAAGTTCGTAAATGACGAGACCCGATCTGTTTCTGAAATTTATTCTATTTATTTATTTGTTTGAAGTTAAGCACAAAGCTACACAATGGGCTCTCTGTGCTCTGCCCACCACGGGTATCGAAACCCGGTTTATAGCGTTGTAAGTCCGCAGACGTACCGCTGTGCCACTGGGGGGGCGTTTCTGTAATCTAAAGAAATATTACAGTTACTTATTTTTACAAATATAATCTATGTATAACCACTTACCAGTTCGGTAAAAATGTACTTGAAGTAACAGTAGAAATGCTGCATTTACGTACATGTTAAGTTGCCCAGGCAAGTTCAATCGACGATTTGACCTAAAATAAACAGAAACACACATTATTGAAGTATCATTTCTTGATTTCTAAATTTTCAATATAATATTTGGTTAGTGTACAAAAACTTGCATCTCTCTCTATTTTTCTTTGTATGTTTGTGTCCTTCGTAGTATTTAGTATCAAGGAAGCGATTTCTAAATTATAACCGAAGCGGATATGTCACCAAAAGTGTAATTTTGTGTGAAAATATCTTCCGTATGTACTAGGTATAAAACTTTTATAGAGAATCTTCAATTTCTTTATATTCATGATAAGTTTTACATTAACAGGAGCTAAGTAAGGTTTTATTTCTAAATTCCATTTAGCATGTAAATCACACAAACATGACAAAGTATACTTGCTAATAAATAGTTAAACTTGTTACACGGCTCTAAGAGTTTCATACCTAATAACGCCGGACGGTAATCACCTACTGAAAAAAAAATATTATGAAAGACGAAATATTATAATATACTGGATAACAAATATTTTGCAAGAATAATGTTTGCGTAACGTTTCCTCGAAGCATACGGAAGTAGACATGTAGTTTGTTAAAAGATAACGCAGTGCACTACCAAGAAAAGCAGAAGCAGTCGGTTTAATCAAAAACAATTAGCACAGAAGTATAGCTAAAACGTGATCAGTTTGCTTTGAATTTCGGGCAAAGCTACACGAGACCTATTTGCACTAGCCGTCCCTAATTTAGCAGTGGAAGGTATCTAGTCATCACCACCCACCGCCAACTCTTGGGCTACCCTTTTACCAACGAATAGTGGAATTGATCGTTACATTATAACGCCCCCACAACCGAAAGGGCGAGCATATTTGGTGGGAGAGGAATTCGAACCCGCGACCCGCACATTCCAAGTCGAGCTCCCTCACCACCTGGCCATGCCCGGCAACGTGATCAGACGGTGTAATTTCAATATTCTTTTAATAAACAACATAATATAAAAGCTCAACAACTGTTATTTTGATATTATAAAAAAATGTAACATTAAATATAATAATTTTGGGACACATCTTAGATTGCCAACATAGACACAAAACCTAGTATTATTATTTATTTATTTTCTCTAAATGTTTTTTTACTTCCATTTTCTTTTAACCCTAGTTTTTGTCCTTTTCGCCTTTTCTGTTTTTCCACTCTTAATCAATTACACCTAATATTGTATTTGATCCTTTTTTTCGTTAATCCTGGTGAATAATGTTTGGTCAAAAAGTCGTATTTATCATTCACTTAATATTCAAACCTAAACTTCAATAAGGGGGCAGGGATTTAATAATTCATTATAAATATTGTTCGCGTAGTATCAAAACTTTCAAATCAATCTCAAAGAAAATAACGAGTTATTAATATTCATTGCAACGCTGTTGCAAGAGAGTAAGTCGTAAGAAAATATTAGCACGCTCAAATAAGGAATTTGGTTTTCATTACCATTACAACAAAATTCCATACTTCCCACGAGATGCACCTTGCTAGACTAATGTATTCACATCTATTAAATGTTCACGAAATGATCACACCTTTATTCTTAATTAATAAGCGATTCTGAATAATTTACAAACTGCTATATACAACAATAAGAAAATATATTTTATTTCAAACATGAAAATTGTTATAATTTAAGCCCGGGGGTTCTCAAACCTTTTTAGCCCGAAACTGGAACCTTTTGTAGCGTTGAATATTAACCCCCCTCCCCATCTGTTAGGTAACTGTAATTCAACAGAGAATAATTAATAATGTTCTACACATGTTCTGTAATACTAAAAAGTAGCCAGACCATGAATCTGCGGATTTGTGGTTTGTGTCCCATTGCCACAATATCGCGCTCCGTCCTTTAAAGTCGTGAGTGCGTTATCAGAGTAATAGTTGAATCCCACTATTCAGTTAGACAAGAGTAGACCAAGAGCTGCCGGTGGATGCTGTTGAATTGCTACCTTCCTTATAGTTCAAAATTAGGGACCAATATGCGCAGAAAGACCTTGTGTAGCTTTGCGTGAAATCTGAAAAGAGCACATATCTTCCGTATCTCTGTTATTGCTATTCTTGTTTGAACGGGCACGGCATGGCCTTGTGGCTAGGGCACTTGACTCGCAATTTGTGCGTCGTGGGTTCGAATCCACGTCACCAAACATGCTCGCCCTGTCAGCCATGGGAGCATTATAATATTACGATTAATCCCACTATTCGTTGGTAAAAATTAGCCTAAGAGTTGGGGAGGGTAGTGTTGACTTAATGCCTTCCGTATAGTCTATCACTGCTAAATTAGTAACGGATAGCGCAGATGGCCCTCGTGTAGTTTTGCGCGAAATTCAAAACAAACCAAAATAAACTAGCTCGAAATGAAACACGCTATAAAGAACATACGAAATGTTGTTATCTCATTACAAATATATTGCGAGTCGTGTAATGTTACCTATAAACAGTTCTCCAACTGAATAGAAGAAAAAAGAACTAAATAATATTCTACCGAGTCAGAAAATCTAACTTACTAGAACTAAAGAAAGTATAAAAAAGTTTAACAAACTTTTTCAGAGTTTCCATACAGCTACGACTAAAATATGGCCTCTATCTGTAATGCGGATTACCTTTCAAAAGCCAAACTGTTGATGCTATAAGTTTGTCAGGTGATATTTCTGGGCTGGGAATCATAAGTGCATTCATCCCTACTACTGATGGAAAAAAAAATGACTGCTTGTATTTTTATAGGCATTATGTTGGTGTGGCACTGTTTAATTGGATCGATGACAACCAGTCAATGGGTAAATCATCAGCACGTAATTGTACTGTAATAGAGTTGATTTTCATACAGAAAAAAAAGGCGAGGGGGCAATCAGATAATATTAGCATTTTATGCCCATTTTATTCACTGCTTTCATAATTGTGTCCAGTACTGTAATTAATTGCTTGCAATTGCTTATCTGGGAATATTACACTTTAGATACTTACGAAACATTATGTGTGTATATATGTATGTACATATATATATATATATATATATCAGGACAAAAACAATAACATATTAATATCATCTACAAGTGAGTGAAATAAACCTGCGATCTATATTCTTTAAAAGCAACAAATATTATTAAATTTATATCGCGCAGGACAAGACAAAATAAAACATAGAAAATTATTATTCTACTGGAAGAAATTAATTGCGGCGACAAAACTCAAAAAGCATTGTTGGTATCCCGTCTCTCCAATAAAGATCAGAAGTCTGGTGAGAAACCACTGAAGAACAATGACAATAAGGGTTAAGACCTGAGTGCTTAAATCCACAACGTCCTAAATAAATCTACCATTTACCATCCGCGCTAGTTATGGGTGTGATATTACCCACACGTTATTATTTACTGAGAAAATGTATAAATCAACAACACAAAATCAAATTATGGGTCTTAGCCACTGTTGTAATCTAAACCAGAAAATACACCTGACCGTAACCTAACGGAAATTATAATACAACCCTCTTACGTAAATTAACAGTATTGGTGAGCAATAAAAACCCCTCAACACCACCCTTAGAACTAACAATCCAAATTCAAATTACCAATTACAAACTAGACAAGTAGAACTAAATTATTCTTCTAGTAAGTTAAATAAACCAGTTCAAACACCTCCCATTTCAACATCTCAATACAAGTTTGGTTAACTAAGACAAACCTATTTACATAAAGTCAATCTTCCCAGTCCCAGTTATTCGTATCAACACTGTGTGTTTAATAATTGTAATGTTCGAAATTATGGTAATATGAAAAAAGATAACAATGGACTACATGTGATTTTAGTAAAAAGGACTACTCAAAACGATTTTGAAAAATATGAATATCCAATAAAAGAAAAGAAGAAACTTCTGTAATAAATAACTATATCAATTGCAAAAAAAAAAAAAAAATCTATAGAACATTATAATTTCCCAGATTTCAAGATTATTATATTTTAATCGTTATGACAACACTATTTGAAACTTAATTAATATTGGAAACAATAATACATATTTTCAACGGTGAAATGATAAATCCTCCCTTTGAAATAATTATAAGGGTCAAACTTTTGAAGAAACAAAAAGCAGTATCCAAATCCTATATAGTGTTCAGCAGTTTGAGCATTATTAATTTGTTGTATTAATTGTATCATATTATTAATTTTATGTATATCCAGTTTCGGAGGGTAAATTAAAGAAAGAGTTGGAATAATAGTTCAATTATTAATTAATTCTAAGTCATCAATTTAACGAAATGTTAAATTTATAATTTTCAGTAGCGGAACAAGGTTTTAAGAACAACGTTTTATAGATGAATAAATATAGTGCCAACATTAGTTGAATAGTTAGTTCGCATAGGTAGGCCTACTTGGTTCTTACATACGCTTTGTTAAAATAATAATAAAACTGTGAAAAATAGAAACACTAAATAAACTTTGACATTTTTCTTTCTGTGAATCTATATGTCACTATAATATCATCTCAAACCTTATCAGTTGGTAAACTCAAAACTCTTAATTCATCAGGCAAGATATTTTAGTATTTACAGCAATTTGTCTGTTTGCTATTAAGCACAAAAACTAAACAATGGGCTATCTAAGCTCTACCCACCGCGGATATCAAAACCCGGCTTTTATCGTTACAAGTTCTGAAAATTACCGCTAAGCCACCGGGAAGGGAATTTAAAGTTTTTTTGTTTGTTTGTTTGGAATTAGCACAAAGCTACACAATGTGCTATCTGTGCTCTGCCCACTACGGGTATCGAAACCCGGTTTTTAGCGTTGTAAGTCCGCAGACATGCCGCTGTGCCACTGGGGGGGCGCATTTAAAGTAGTCAAATCATACGCGAATATGGAAGAAACTGAACAACATCCATTTAGAGTAGCTAAACCTTGTAAGACTGGATTATTATTATCGATAATTCGGAATCCTTCAGTAGGCAAACATTCAATATGGGCTTTAATATTGTGAAATATCTAGTATTATATTGAGAACAACAGTAGAACTTTTAAATATAATATTTACCGAAGCTGAAATAATCCTAAACCATACATTGGTTTCTTATGTAATTTGAGATTTCTTTTAAATTAGATTACCAATTGACTTATTTTATTTTGGATCCTTTAGATAAATTATATAAGACAAAACTTTCAGAGATTACATTTAAAAATGTATTATTAAAATTAATTTCGCTAATTAGAACTACAGCACACAAGTTCCCATAAATAATGCCAAAATTAGAACCAATTTTGTCAATTGGAGTGATGACAAATTTTTCTTGAATTTTAATAATTTTGTCACTATTTATTAACTAGCGTCCATTTTAGTTACCTCCATCCCATAATTCTAACTTTATTTTAGATAAAAGCGACATTTTAAGTTTGTAGTCATTAAAAAAACATCAAGGGCACAATTATGATTAGAA